TATTTTATCGCTTGAAAATGCCATTGGCCAGTCTTTGGACTTCTGGGACACTGTGCTTCAGTTCATAAGGGCAAAGGAGAGAAAAGCCACCTTTGGAACTAAAGGACTAGGATTAACATTCTAAGGCTGTCACCTACTGTAACACTATTTAACACTGGTCCATTCAATGTTTGTGCAGTTCAATTTCTTGATGTTAGCACATTTCAGTTATTCCTAAAATTAAAAAGTTTCTATAAGCTTAGAAGAAACTTTTTTTATTTGCTTATATATGGCATGAATAAATACAGATTTACAGATCCTAGCTTACAAATTTATCATCTTATAAGACAAGGATAAATCATACATCAAAGTCATGAAATGGGCTATAAATGCAATAATAAATAAGGTATTCAAAATTATAACAAATGGAGGGGCAGGAGGTGCCAAAGACACTCCTTGCCTGGGGCACCATTTGGTCTAGGGCCAGCCCTGCCTAGGAATGTTGGAAGTCAGTACATAAAACTGAATCAGACATTAAATCTGTCACTGATGCAGGTTTAAGTATGCCTGTCTTGAATCTCAGGCCAGTGTAAATTTTTGAGGGAAAGTTCTACACTTGGAGAAAGTTGGTGGGGCAGGGGTTGGTTCTCAGACGGGGGTGGGTGGTTCTGAGAGGGGGAATAGGGAGTTGGGTTGTTTGTTTAAACAAGTGGCAGCTGTTTGAAGATGTTCAGAAGCTGGAATTTGAAAATGAGCCCTGGAAGCTGGACTGGTGGTCAAAGTGAAGGCGAAGAACTGAAAGATATAAGCTAGATGCAATTTACCACATGGCTATTATCACCACGTGATACGTGTGGGTATAACCACTACCAAAGATATGGATATGTGTTACTGAGGGCATCTTTTGTACAATACTGTAGAGCAAAACAACTTTTAAAGGTTACTCAATGCATTTTCCATTAGGGTAAAGAAAGTATTGCACATTCAAATGACTTTTTGGAGAAACAGGATGGGCTAGGCAATTTTTGCTTCTGTTCACATTTTGTAACTAGCTGACTTATCAGCCTTGTACAGGTGCATTTTTGCTGACTATATTTTTCCATTTCCTTGGCACAGGAACAGAAAAACAAAATAGCATATGTTTTATTGTGTAAGGCCTGACGGAAAACAGAGAACTTTCTGTTCTTCTGAATGTCTCAACCTGGACTTCCAAGCTTTTAAAAAAAATAATTTATTTTTTTTTTTAGGGTTTTTTTTTTTTTTTTTTAAAGTCTCAAGAACACATAATGCCAACTGTGGCATTACTTGAAAATGAACAGAAGTAGCAAATACTGTTTGAATAACTGTCCCTTAACTGATCACAAAGAAGGTGGGACTAGAAATAGATTAGGGGCCCAATCCTGCAAATCTGCAGATTGCTCTGACTCACTTGAGCTGTCCTGTTCTAGTAATGCTGTATTTATTTGATATATGGTATGCTGAAGAACCTATACAATAGGAGGCACTGTACATATAACATCATGCTACATTAGAACCTCAGAGTTATGAGGACCTCAAGAACGGAGGTTGTTCACAACTCTGAACAAAACATTATCATTCTTTCAAAAGTTTACAACTGAACATTGACTTACTAGAGCTTTGAAACTTTACTATGCAGAAGAAAAATGCTGCTTTCCCTTTCTTTTAGTAGTTTATGTTTAACAGTACTGTACTGTTGTATTTGATTTATTTTTTCTTGGAGGGGAGGTGTCTCTGCTGCTGCCTGAATGTGTACTTCCGGTTCCAATGGAAGTGTGTGGTTAACTGGTCAGTTTGTAACTGAGGTTCTACTGTATTCCCATGCATTAATACATAAAGCGAGCTGAGTGTTGGGACACAGAGGAAAAAAAGGCTTAATGGGCACCAGCTCCATTTCTGATCCTGTGGAAGCTCTGCTGCATTAACTACAAGGGGTTCTGCAGGGCTTTTGGCAGATGGGAAGCAAAATGGAGGGGGGAAAAGGCTGGGGCTGGTCATCCATAGGGCAACATCCCCTTCCAGACCTGCAGAACTGCCAGTAGAATTTTCCCTCAGATTGCACATTGAGTATTAACTCAGTTTTTGGCTATTCCCCCTCCCAATAGCCCAAGGAATTGGTGGGTTGGCTAAGAGGACAGCAGCAAAATACATGCCAGCAGGGCTAAAAGAGGAGTTGTACTGTTAGGGTGTAGGGAACCTTAGTCCCTCTATGCTGCTATATCCCTCCACACAGATAGCCGCTCCCCCTCCCCCACACACACACTATGCAGATCTTGAGACATTCATTTAACTGAAAGGCCACATGCCCCTTCTCCAAAGAGAACAGGCTGTTTGGTAACGCCATACGTTTAAACTGCTCAGGTAATTTCCTGTTCCTTGACAGTAGGAATCGGCCAGGCTCTAATGATCAGAGGTTAATTGAATATGAAATAAACACAAAATAAGCAGAAATGTAAGCAAAAGTCCTTTTGCAGAAGAGACAGTAGGCAATATCTCCTTTTCACCCTGGTTGTGCCCCCAAAAGACAGAATTTAGCCCTTAATAAGGCAAGTAAAAGCCAACATAGATCAGTAGGGATGGAAAGAGTAATGAGGCAGGATAAGATCTATGCCAATAAAACAAAGTTCAAAGGGTAATTGGGAGAACAAAGACTAATGTTAACTTGCAAAGAATATTTCAGCTGACCCTGGAGTTTTCCTATTTATATGCGCTGATTAAAAATGAAAACTGATCAACTAAAAAAAATTGCAAGTACCTAGACCAGAACCGAGCAGATATTAAACATCAACACTGCCTGTTCTTGAATGGAGGAAGATGGAGAATTACTTACATTTCAATAGTTTTGGACTAGATTGTATCTAGTCCTATGTGGGCATAAAGGGAAGGGTACATAGTCTTCAGACTCCGGGCATTCCTGCATGGAATTTAGAGAAGGCTGCATAAAGGTTTCCAGTAGAGGTCCCCTATTTTCAGTCTCAGAATGTAGACACCATGACATTTCCCAGACTTGGTATCTGCTTGAGGGTTGTTAAACATTTTTTTAATAAAGCAAAATAGTTCAGCATTTGGGATTATAAGGAGAAAGACAAATAGTTTCCCTATTACCCAAAAAATATGATTTAATTTTAAATTCTTCCTTAGCCTCCCTCATGTTCCCTGCCCAGAAGCACAGGTTAAAATTAATAGAAAGCTAAAACAACCAACTTTGTAAGTTTCATCCCCTTATGACTCCCTTGAATTGCCTTTTTTAAAAGTTCTGTCAGACACCAAACCCTGCAGAATAAGATGTCAAAGAAAGAAAGTTGATCCCATGAGATTTAAAGCAGCAGAATCAAATGTTTTTGCTGATTGGAGCTAAAGAACAGGAATCTTGCAGTTTCTGATGTTCTAGATTTAAACATTTAGCAGTTATATATTCCCACTTTCAACAATACTAGAGATTTCCTTCATTGTCAGTGTATTTCACTCTTAAATACTATGGACCAGACAAGTACAAAAGGAAAGATTCATGCCATTCTACACATAAGTTATTTTGTTTCAGTAAGTGATCTAATGTGCTGGAGACTATTGTGCATATTTATGATTTGTCTCAGCTTTGCTAATCAGTGAAAAAATATAAGGCAAAGACAATTTCATTTCTTCTTCTGAAACAGAATGGCAAACAGTGCCACCTACTGTTTGTCAGTTTTTCTTAATTCCTTATGAAATGCCAGTTGTAAAGACCATGATAGAGGAGCTCAGCTATTTAGGAGAGCCTGGGAGTAGAGCCACTACTGCTCTGGATTGAGAGGAGCCAGCTGAGGTGGTTCTGGCACCTGATAAGGATGCCCCCTGGGAGGTTTCCTTTGGAACTCTACTGGGCACATCCCACTGGGAGGAGATCCTGAGGCTGACCCAGGACACACTGGAGGGATAATATCTCCCAGATGGCCTGGGAACGCTGGGAATCCCCCAAAAGGAGCTGGAACCTATTGCGGAGGAAAGGGAGGTCTGGTCCTTCCTACTGCCGCCACAACCCTCACCAGTAAAAGTGGCATAAAGGAAAAAGACAGACAGACAATGACAAGGGCTGTGGTGGATTCTCCATCACTGACAATTGTAAAATCAAGATTGTTTTTGTTTTTCTAAAAGACAGGGATCGGCAACCTTTGGAATGTCTCGGCCCATGCCGCTTCCCGCAGCACCCATTGGCCTGGAAGGGCGAACTGCGGCCAGTGGAAGCTGCGATTGGCTGAACCTGCGGACGCTGCAGGTAAACAAACTGTCCCGGCCTGCCAGCGGCTTTCCCTGATGGGCCATGTGCCAAAGGTTGCCGATCCCTACTCTAGGAATTAATTTGTGGAAGTTCTATGGCTTGTCTTTTACCGGAGGTCAGACTAGATGATCACAATGGTCCCTTCTGGCTGGGAAACTATGAAACCTGTGGACTCAACTCTGTAAAAAGGAAGTACTTAACAATAAAAAGTTAACCAGAGTTCATGTAGTCTTGTGTAAATTATTCCAGAGGATAAATCAATTACTTGAAAAGAAACCTACCCGCTTACTGACTTCTAACCCCTCCCCTGAAGTCATAGCTAAAACAATGCTTCAGCATTAGAAAAGATTTTACAAGATGAAGTTACAGCGTGTCATCAGAAAACTTGTGCAAAAACCACTATCAAGTTGTATAAGTACTTCAATTGTGTTGAGACTCCCTCTTCCAAGGAGTTTACAGTCTACATGGACAACACTGTTCTATTGCCCATCAAGTTTGCATGAGGAAATCTCAGTTTGTTGAAACACAGAATCCAGGTCATTTTTTTTGGATCTATTTAAAAATCAAGGTACCTTACTTCAAATACAAGCATACAAAAGGCATTAAGTTATTCTATATGTTTATTTTCAATGTACAACACCACATATTTTGGTGAGTGTGTGGGAATAAGCCCCACAAGAGATCACAGAATACATTTTATTGTTTACAGTAATATTTAGTCAGATGTATGTGTGTGTGCGCGCACAGAGCAAACCTTGAATAAGCATGAAGAACCATTCCACATCACATTTCATTTGACTTCCGATGAAGCCCAGGCATTTAAACAGAGCCCTTTGGTAGCCTAATTTACAATTGCTCTGGTCTGTTTAGCAGAAACTGAACTAACTGAAGCAGAATTTCATCATTAAAACCTTTTACGTTATTGCCTTCCACAGCTTCATATAAGGGCTTACTTTCTGTTCCCCAACAGATATTCTTCCGAGGGTTATTTTGATCAGCTCGTACAGTTAGTGCTAAGGTATTCAGCTGATAACAAAAGAAAGCAAAGTATTTTCCATCTGTGATCACAGCCTGCGATACAAAGGGACGGGTCACATCTGCCTCACACCAGAATCCTGTAAATGAAATTACACCCTAGTTACACAAGACATAAGTAATATTCATATTGGCACAGGGACTTGAAATACAGACAGAGTTACAAACCTAAACTGCTTATCCTCAAGGAACAAGATAGTTTTAGATTGTTCAGTCATAACATTTTACATAATAATCTAACGACATCCTCACCTTACCCACCCCCAAGAAAAGTTTTGGGTCACATACCTCAAGGACCACTTTCAAAATTATGCTAATGTATATGCTCACAAATCTGAACACAAAACTAACCTTTTCAATGCACATGGATTCTCATGGAACCGAGTCTGCCCGCAAAGGTTACCCATCTTGCACAAAACGGCATGTTTAAAATTAGATACAATGTACAGCACCACACATTTGGTGTGCCCTACAGACACTTTTTTTTTTTTTTGGAGGAGGGGGGGAAGAGAGAGAGGGAATCTGACCTTTGGCAGCGCAGCACCTTCTATTTAGAGGATAACTGAATTTTCCATAAATCCTCTTACAGTGAAGTGACTTTATCCATAAGGGAATGCACTTATTCATCACAACAATTCAAGAATATGTGCCGTTAATTCAAGTTTAATACACCATTACTGTTGAATGCTGAATAAAATGGTTAGAGAGACAAGCTAAATCTTTTATTGGACCAAACAAAATGGTTCCCCTTTTATACTATATCATGTTGTTGTGCATGCACAATAGCATATGTAGAGAACTGTACTTACAGCACAAACATTGAATACATATGCTTCCTTAAGCAATGCTCACTACTAAAATTCTAAAATAACCCAGTAGAGTCGGAGAATGAAAACAAATGTTACCGTCTTATACATCAATGTCACTAAGATTCTAATTGACTTGTAAAGATGATACCATCAATTTCAGTGTTATAGGTACACCACAAAAAAAGATAAGTTTGGGATCACGTGATTAGCATATGCTATTTCACATGTACAATTTGACGCAAAACTATCTTCTTATTGTTTTATACAGATGTATTAATTAGGGGATTTACATCACTGTTACCTAAACATGGTGTCATTACTTCAGAAATTGCTTCCACTACCAGAAGCTAGCTATTAGCTAATGGCATCTATATCTAAGTGAATTAAGTTCTCTTCTTTCCAGCTGAGGTCTCATTTAATATTTATAAATCCTTTATGGAATTAGAATTGTACAGATCGTGAATATGGGAGTTTGCTCAAATATACACTGTATCTCTACTTCTCAACAATTAGGTTTTTTATTTACTATTATTTTGATCAGATACAAGTAGTGCAATACTAATGATCAATATGTAGGTCTACTTTTTGTAATCTGTCTTGAATTAAAAAAATCTCTAGTCTCTGATATTATGCAAGTATATTGGGCATTATTTCTTTACATATACACTGTTAGAATTTAGCACAGGGCATATCTGAAAGGCCAAGTGCTAGAGCAAGAACATTAGATTTCATGTGCCTGTAATGTTTACTAGTTCAGGATAAAACCATTAGCTTGATCCCCATAGCAACTGTTCATCTTTTGTGTTTCATTATAATGTACAATACAAGCTCATGAGGCTGCTTTCAAAAACAGTTCACCCTATTGCATAGTAAACTGGCTTATAATCAAATTCCACCTTCCATGAAGATTTGTATAAGAGAAATTTGATTTATATGCACCGAACATGGAGTAGAATTTAACTGCCAAAATTCCACTATAACACCCCATTTTTTGGAATACTGATTTCAGCTGCTTACTATCATATACCACAGCCAAAAAACTCTAGTGTATAGACTACATATTTTAACCTAAAAAATACCAAAAATAATTGTACACATATTAATAAGTGCCATTTAATATTCTATACATTTCATAATTTTTGCTGATTCAGATAGCAAGATTGGAGTTGTTCACTAATATAGGATAGATTGGTGCCAAAGGGTAAACTGCAAAAGCAGCTTGATTAAATTATGGAAAAACTCTGCTAGTTTTAGCTTTAAAAGATATATACAGGTACCCAAAGAAATATGAAAATTAAGCATTTGAAACTTCAGGTGTTCCAAAGTGAGTTTGTTTAGGTCAGGGGTTCTCAAACTTCATTGCACCATGACCCCCTTCTGACAACAAAAATTACTACATGACCCCAGGAGGGGGGATTGAAGCCTGAGCCCCGCCACCCCAGGTGGTGGTGGTGGGGGCTAAATCCCAAGCACCACCGCCCCTGGCCAGGGGGCTAAATTCAAAGCCCAAAGGCTTCAGACCCATGCAGGGGGCCTGTAACCTGATCCCTGCCACCCAGGGCGTCAGGCTTGGGTTTCAGCCCCAGCAAGTCTAAGTCAGCCCTGGTAACCCCATTAAAATGGGGTCGCAACCCACTTAGGTGTCCTCACCCACAGTTTGAGAACCCCTGATCTGGTTGAGGCAGCTTTGTAATTTCAAGCACTTTTAAAAGTCAGACTGATCACACCCTATTTACTCTTCAGTTCTAACCTATTATGCATTAAACAATGATTTTCTTTAGTTCTGTTAGAAGCATGACAGATTAGCAAGGGGAAAGGCCCTCTATTTAAAGAGTAACTCTACTGGGCTGCACTTTTTAATTTTTTTTTTTAAATAGTATTAACTCTGCATTAATACTTGGTTTAATTAAACCAAAGTTGAAGTACTCATTTCCCATCAAGCATCTCCCTAATGCTCTTACAGTCATTTTATTGACTTCAGTTTCACAGATGATATAGCATGGCAGGGACCAATGAGATAGAAACATCTGGATTTTTCTTATAAGTGGACACAACTTTATTAGATTCCATAACAGGACAACTTGTCATGGCAGCAATGAAAATGAGAAAACAACAGATGCTCTCTCTATCGAGGCTTTGCATAGGGAGGAGGGCTAGCTCAGTGGTTTGAGCATTGGCCTGCTAAACCCAGGGTTGTGAGTTCAATCCTTGAGGGGGCCATTTAGGGACCTGGGGCAAAAATCTGTCTGGGGATTGGTCCTGCCTTGAGCAGGGGGTTGGACTAGATGATCTCCTTAGGTCCCTTCCAACCCTGATATTCTATAAGGGGAAGGAAGGTGACAGAGTATCACTCAGTCCCAGGGCACCACCTTGCCCGTTTAAGACCAAGGCCTTTAAAAGCCTTTTGTTCAAGTCAGAGGAGCCACCTACTTTAAATCCATGAGCTGGTTGACACGATTAAGCAAGTTGGCTATTTGCTACTGCCATTTTAATTACTCCTAGAACACTATCTCAAAACATAAGATTTAATACTTTTTAGACATTTTATATTGCCAGCTACTGATTTGTAAATATTTGGTTTGATGTATATTACTCCTTTTAACTCTCTCGATCAAGACAGGATTAAACAGAAATTAAGGAAGTCAGAGGACTGAGATCCAACATTACATTTCATTTTTTCTTTACTGCTCCCTTTTTCTAGGATTTTTTTTAAAAAATCCAGTCAAAGTAATGAAAAAATACCAATGGAAATGTTTAGAAAGACAAAGCAGGTGAGATAATATCTTTTATTAAATGAACTTCTGTTGGTGAGAGAGACAAGCTTCCAAGGTACACAGAGCTCTTCTTCAGGTCTAGGAAAGGTACTCCCAGCATCATCACAGCAAAATAGTGGAACAGATTGTTTAGCATAAGTACTTATCACATATTGTAAGGGACCATTCAAGGCAGAGTGGCCCATTAACACCTCTGCAGTCATAGGACAGAAAGAGGGGGTTACAGATAGTTATAATAAGCCATAAATCCAGTGTGTCTCTGTCCAGTCCATGATTTTGAGTGTCTAGCAGAGTAATGAATTTAAGCTTCCATGCTCATCTTTTGAAAGGGCTGTGTAGGTTTCCTTTGAGGATGAGGACTGACAGAATGATCGCTTTGTTTGTGAATTACACTTGATTAATCTCAGTTTGACATGCCCCCCCGCCCCCCCAAAAAAGAGCCCCGAAAACTTTGGTGTGATTTTTTTCTCCTACTCTTCAAGCACTTTACACAAATTTAAGGGTCTTGTTTTAAAGAATTTGTATAATATCTCCCATATACATAGTTTAATTGGCTCATTTAAGTTTCAATAATGAAATCAAGACCTGTTCTACACAGAAAGAAAACCACATAAAACACAAATGGAAGATAAAAGGAAAGGGAGAAAGAAGTTTGTCTTACATCTATAAATGGCTAGCAATCAAGCTAGAAGTTTTGCCTCACCTTGATACATAGCTTGTGCTGCAGTCCAAGCAAAGAGACTTGCAATACCATTAGCTCGATAAGTTACTTCAATTTGATCAGCAAGGTTTGCTTTTAATAATCGTTCCCTTTTCAGTTTATCAGGAATCAAATGAAATTGCGTATGACCGTAGCTGCATGGATCTGCCACTTTTGATCCTGAGTTCATAAAAAGGAGAAAAGTTAAAAGCCACTTTAAAAAAAAAAATCAAACATTATAGGCATCAGAGGTTAAGGAAAAGATAATATTTCTGTCATCTCTATTATTCTGACTTCTGCCCATCAAAGTAACAAGTTATTTAAAAAAAGTTAGCTTGATTTGAAATTTTGACAATATTTCTTTGGCTTCCTCTAGTTCAAAAGACTAAGTCTCCTTATCAACTCACTTGCTGGCTATAATTGGAGAAAAGACACTGAAATTAAAGTTAATAATTTGCTAGTTCTGGTCCAATCTTGCGCCCACTGAAATTAAAGGGGTTTTGCCTCTTTCCCCTTCATTGACTGGATGTTGTTTAGAAAGACCAGAAGGCTCCTTTTAAAGCTGACAGGTAACTGATCTTCTGTAGCAAAAGTGGTAAGAAGCATATTTTTCTGGGCTGTAGGAGAATAATGGTGGGCTTGGCCCTGACTGTGCAGGTAACTGGTTTATTATGGAGAAGCAACAGCCTCTTTATGAGTAAAGCTATCTGAGCCCCCTTGTAACCAAAAGAAAAGCAAAGAACAAAATCCTTATAAGGCCCAATGACCCATTCAGAAAACATTCTGTATATTGAATCAAATATTTTCAGATCAAGACTTAAATGACTCCTTCTGAAATATGAAGTGTCAAATGTGTGTCACTTTATCACAATTTTAAGTGTTTTACTGACTATACCCAGTCTCTTATTTTATTAATTAATGTTCAGCAAAGTATAGCACCACAGTTATAAATGCCATTAGACAGATTTTGAAATTGGCTTCTGCAATAAGCCATTTTCAAAAGTGTACTATTCTTTAGTACTTCTACACCATAACTATATTCCTATCGCTAGGAAAATCTTACCTATAAATATCTTGTTATCATACTGTCTTTTGAACAATGGAAGTTTGTCTGGTTTGTGATTAATAACAGGAACTTCTCCAGGGACTGAATAATCTAATGGTACAAACTTGAAGGAACGAGAAAGAGAAAGAAAATCAGTTCAGCAAGTCACAGAATGTTTTTGATCTCAGTATTATTACATACTACATTGATAATATTTTGATTCTTAAGAAAGATTTGTTTGAACAGCCATCCGAACACCTAAGGAATTCTCATCAAGTTCAACATCCATTTTACGGTCTTGAATAAAACTTAGATCCTGTTCCGAGAGAGAAACCAACAAGATAGTATGTTTGTCGAAGAGAGCGTGAATCTCCTGCAGCAAAAAGAGAAATATGTTGTGTAGAACAGGAAGGACTCAAGTGCCAGAGCTTGGACAATTGTTGGTTAGCACCACTTCCCACTGATAGAAGATGGGATTTCCCACGGGGTGGGGGGGGGGGGGGGGGAGGACACAAAAACACAAAAAAACACCACCAAAGCTTAATTAACAGCATTTTGTGCTGGACCTTTATCCTCCCATTCAATACAACATGGTTATAGTATTTTGCAATTCGGTTTTTTCAAAAGCAACTAGCCAATCATTTTGGGTCCCCAACTCAAGATGCCTTGAGTAGCCCAATGTTAAGAATGCCAAGCACGCATCCTCTGAAAGAGGACTCAAAAGTTGAGCACCCAAGCAAAAAAGTCAATAGTCATTTTTGAAAATCTTGGTGTATGTTTTCTTTGGCAAGTTATAGAAAATCTAAATAAAATATACGGAACTAAAACTTTCAGTCATGCCACTGAATTTAGCAGTGACCATATGATTGCTAGTGAGGCTTCTTCCAAAGGGTGGTAGCCCCAGTATACACTGATTTCCTCACATACGCACACACACATATACATATATTGATTTCCCCCACCCATATATTTTTAGGGGGAGGGCAGGGAGGATGAACAGGAGAATCTTTCCCTAGTAGTACATTCTAAGAAAGTCTTACCCAACACAATGTGTTTTGTATACAGCATTGCTGAATGCCTTACAAAAGTAGAATAGAGGTTAAGCAAAGTGCTATTTATTTTTTTTAAAGTTCCCTAAAACTTCTCTAAAAATAGATGAACCCCCAGTATAAAGATAATTAATCACACACATCTACAGTACTGTATGTGCTGTTATTTAACGATTGGAAGTTTATTCTGTATTTAACTAAATTTCACTCTTTGTCTACCTGTTATTTTCAATTACCCTACCTCACGATTTAGAAGAAAGCCTTTAGAGGAAAACTTGTTAAAACCAACAGTCAAAGAAAAAGCATTTTAAAGAATGTACAAAGCTACATTGCCTACCTGTAAGGGCATCAAGTTTATCACCTTTCTGACACTAAAAACTCTGATTTTCACATTTAGTGTCACTCAGTTTAATCCTATCTAGCAGTCTCAACCTTGGCAAAGTGCACAATCAAATTAACAGAAACATTAAAATGGTCAAAGTGCAAAGCACGGCACCCTGAAGAAGCACACAGGACTAGCTGGCAGCAGCACAAAAGAAAGATGTGCATGTTTCCCCCATGTTGCCCTGCTATCATGGAAAGGTTAGGGGTGTACAATCGGTTTCCTTTTCTTGAAGAGGCAGCTCAACTTTCAAAAATTTGGTAAACTATATGCCAACACCACTGATTTGTCTAGATTATGTTTATGCTTGGAATTACAGAGTTCAAGCTTAAACTTTAGATGCAACCTCTCCCTCCCTTTCAACTCTGCTCACTTTATCTACATATTCATTCTCTCATTCATTTCCAATGACTCAGTCTCCCCCTCATTCAGACCACAATCCAGATTCACTGCTTTCTCTCATGTCTTGGGGATTTCAAAAAGGGAAAAATTGTAGTCCCACTTAGACTGGCAAAGGTGGAACCAGCTGACAAAAGAAGGAGCTACAAAAGCCAGTGGCTAGACTCTTCCAGTACAAGCTTCTATGCATGCTGTACACATGCAGAATTTAAAGAGGATGTAAATAGTACCAAAAAACTGACTAAAAACATTCTAAGAATTCATAGTGAATGGACACCTACACTTCATGACATTAAGAACAAGCCCTTACCTATGGCTTGTTCAAAGCTACAAAGTTAGGCTGACTTTTTTCGACTTAAATTTATGTGTTGACAAGTGCAAAACTATCTCCTACAGATGTAAATGCCCCATTACAGTGATGCAATGCCACTCTCCCGGAACAAAGCAGAGCCACAGTCGACCTACATCTGTAAACGCAGTGCAAGTGTAGACATTACCTATGTCGACCTTAACAGTCGACTGGCAGCTGTCTCACGATTTGCCCTTGTGCTCGCACCAGTGACTTCTCCAATCGCAATTTTGAACTCCAATGCCTGGGGTCACAGACCCGAGAAGTCTGTCCCCACCCTTTAAAACCCCCAACTTATTTTTGAAATTCCTTTTCTTGATTGCCCACTATGGTGAGAACACCTACTGTCCCACTGTTGTGAGCATCCAACCATGCTGGCTCCAAGCATACACAGAGATACTAGATGTACTCCTGTCTGGAGTAGGAAAAGTGTCATAGATTGCCACAGCCTCTGGGGAGAAGAGACTGTGCAAGCCCAGCTAAGAAACAGCCAAAGAAATTTGGGGTATGTCTATAATGCCCTGTGACTTAAAAACCTGTAACTTAGCTGACCCAGGCTCGTGCTAAGGGGCAGTTTAATTGCAGTGTAGATGTTCAGGCTTGGGCTGGAGGGTCCCAGGCTACAACCTGACCCTTACCCTTAAAGTCAACACCACAATTAAACAGGCCCTTAGCTTGAGTCAGCTAGCACGGGCCAGCCACGGGTTTTTAATTGAAGTGTAGACACACACAGACATCTGTGTACAGATTACATGGGCAAGTGGGGTGATGAAATCGGGGCCCGACAGGGATGAGCAGTAGTACCACATGAAAGTGAAGAAATTTCAGCAGGCATATCAGAAGGTAAGGGAGGGCAACAGCAAATCTGGGGCCTCCCATATACTTGATGCTTATAGCATGTCATACTTGGCATGGACTCCACCAGCATGCCACACGTGACTGAACACTTTGCCAGGCCTGATGCAAAGATCCATTCAGTGCACAAAGGGAGAGAAGACTGGAGGGAAATGTAAACCTTGCAGTGACAAGGAGCTATTTGACAATCTTCTGGAGTCAAGACAGTCCCACTAGCCAAGTGCAGATGGGCCCGATTATGAAGGGGAAGAGAGCTCAAGTGTACACACGCATTATTCCTTATAAGCATTTTTTTTTTTACCTTTTTATTGCCCAAAACCTCCTCTCCCTCTCACCCTTCTTTCCCATTTAAAAATGGCTCCCATCTCATCTGTGCATTTAGAGAACAAAAAGGTACTGACTTCTGATTTTCCACTTTATTTGTAATATGTATGAAAATAAAAACAACGAGGAGTCCTTGTGGCACCTTGAAGACTAACAAATTTATTTAGACTTAAGCTTTCGTGGGCTATAACTCCACGCATCTGATGAAGTGGGTTATAGCCCACGAAAGCTTATGCCCAAATAAATTTGTTAGTCTCCAAGATGCCACAAGGACTCCTTGTTGTTTTTGCTGATACAGACTAACACGATACCATTTCATCAATATCTACCTACCTTTGGACAGCACATAGTACACTGTGTAGCTCAAACAAGAACATAAGAATGACCATACTGGGTCAGACCATTGGTCTGATAATAGCCAGTGCCAGATGCCTCAGAGGGAAAGAACAGAATGGGGCAATTTACCATCCCCCTGAAATCCAGTCCCAGAGGTTATGGGGCACCCAGAGCATGGGGTTGCATCCCTCACCATCTTGGCTAATAGCCATTGATGGACCTACCCTCCATGAACTTATCTAATTATTTTTTGAACCCAGTTATACTTTTGGCCTTTATAACATTCCCTGGCAATGAATTCCACAGGTTGACTGTGCATTGTGTGAAGAAGTACTTCCTTATATTTCTTTTAAGCCTACCATCTATTAATTTAATTGGGTGACTCCTGGGTCTTTGTGTTATCTGAAGGGGTAATAACACTTCCTTATTCATTTTTTTCCACATTATTCATGGTTTTATAGACCTCTATCATATCTCCCTTAATTGTCTATTTTCTAAGCTGGATAGTCCCAGTCTTGAATTTCTCCTCATATGTTCCATATTCCCTCATCATTTTTGTTGCCCTTCTCTGTACTTTTTCCAACTCTAAATTATCTTTTTTGAGATGGGGCAACCAGAACTGCACACAGTACTCAAGGTGTGGACATACCATAGATTTATACGTGGTATTATGAATATTTTCGGTCTTATTATCTATCCCTTTCCTAATAGTTCTCAACATTGTGTGCTGTGGCAGTCAAAAAAGCTAACAGAGCAGATGTTTTCAGAAAAACATTCACAACCTTTTTCTTGAGTGTTAACGGTTAATTTAGACCCCATCGTATTGTACATATAGTTAGGATTATGTTTTCCAATGTGCAGTACTTTGCATTTATCAACATTGAATTTCATCTGCCATTTTGTTGCCCAGACACTCAGTTTTATAGTTTTAATAAACACTAAAATCATGGAATAAATAAGATTGTTATAAATACAATGGAACCTTTATAGAGGAAATTAAGTTTCTCTACAAAAGTTTTTCCCTGAGATATGACTGGTTGGATTTAAAAATCAAACAAAAACAAGCAATGATTTTTAGACAGACTATATTTATGTTGTGAACTGTTCAGAGCAGAGACTCTCTTACTAGGTGTCTATATCCTGCCTAGCACAGTGAAGCTACTTTTATACATGCTACATACTAAATGCTACTGTAATACAGTACCAGTTGATATTCACTTTTAGAAGTATTAAAAACATTCGTACCTCTGGAAGCTGTTTTGGCACACGGATCTGGATTTGTGGTTTGTCATCTATCTGAAATCTCACTGGATCAATTCTACCAGTTCGATAGCCTCGACAAACAACAGTCTCACCGCGCTCCCAATAGAAGTTAACCTGTGGTTTTAAATCTGAAATGAAACACGTTTTGTTTTTAGCCAGTCCATTACACCCGTGTATTCTTGGTGAAAACATGCAAAAGGACATCAGCCCTCAGCCCAAAAAACAAAGTTAAAAATCAGTCAGTGATGTAACCATTACCCACAATAACCCAGGTGCATTTCACATACTTCCGCATAATCTCTTCTTCTACTCCACGGCCTAACTTCCCACCCAGCCCCAGCACCCCCTCCTCGCCCCTCTCTAATCACCAGCAACACCCCCTTCACGCGACCTCCCGCCCCACCTAAGCAGGAGGTTGTGAGCAGCGGGTTGCAGCTGCCCAGCGCGGCGGTGAGGGAGGAGACCAGCTGCGTGAGGAAGGGGGCCGGGACGTGCTGCTGCTCTCGGTAGAGGAAGGGTCGCTCTCGCTTGCGCTGGTAGAAATGCTCCTGCAGGAGCGCGTCGCAGGTCAGGGAACGCAACTCGCTCAGATCCGGGACCCCGAGTCCCGCCGGCTCCGCTCCCGCGGGGGGCAGCCCCGGCACGAAGACGGTCTTGGTGAAGCTCTGGTACCAGCGGTCCGCGTTCAGGGAGAAGGTCTGCGGGTAAACCACGTACTTGAGCCGCTGCAGCCGGCCGTAGAGCTGCAGCTTCTCCGCGATGGAGGGCGCCGCGTGCACCTGCTGGTAGAAATATTCCAGCCGACGGCGCTTGGCCGACTTGCTCTTGGCCGTGTGGGAGGCGACCACGGGCGGGTAGAGCGGAGACGGAGGCTGAGGGGCCGCGGAGGGCTCGGTGTGCAGCAACCGGCAGCCTTGCCACACCAACCGCCACCCCCTGGGAGCCGCCATCTTGTCAGAGTGGGCGGGAGACTCGGGACAGACAGGAGAGTGTACATCAGTAATTGGCTACTATTGGTCACGTGGGTACTATAATACACCAATCCGAACGTTCCTCTGAGAAACCGGGAGGTGCGGGAAAAAGAGGGCGGAGCCAGTCATTGAATCAAAGCATTTCATTTGCCCGACGGTCTAGGAAACAGTCAAAGAGGGAGGGTTCCTTTTCAAGGGTGCGGAAGAAGCAAGCTCCGCCCTTCCACTATGCGCATGCTTCTTGCGGACGGTCTTGTTGCTGCGCGTTGCCCTGGACGTGAGCAGCGTAGAGAAAGAGGACTACAGTTCCCAGCATGCAGGGCGAGGGCTGCCGGGATGGGGGCCGCCGCAAGGTCGGCTGAGGGCTGACAGAGCGTTTAGCTACCCTGTGAACACCCGCGCTCCCCAGCTGTCCTGTGCCCGACCCCCACCCCGACCCCCTGCTCCTCTTCCCACAGGGACCTCACACCTCTAAAGAGCCCCTGAGCCCTCCCCCGACCCTGCTAGCCTTTGTGGTTCCCATCCCTATACAGGCCCCTAAACCACACTCCCAGATCCCACTATAAATGGGGCCTCTCATCCCTCGACTGGCCCTAGGGTGACCAGACAGCAAATGTGAAAAATCGGGACAGGGATGGGAGGTAATAGGAACCTATATAAGAAAAAGACCCAAAAATCAGAACTGTCCCTATAAAATTGGGACATCTGGTCACCCTAACTGGCCCCTGAACCATGCTTCCAGATCCTGGTATCACTGGGGTTTCCCATCCCTATATGGGCCTCTGAACCACACTGCCCCAATCCAGCTATAACCTGTGGCTCATAGCCCTAGACTGGACTCTGAACCATACTCCCAGATCCCACTACGACCAGGGGCTCCCAGCCCTATATGGGCCCCTGGACCATAGCCTGTGATCCCACTCTCACTGGGGACTCTCATCCATATATGGGCCCCTGAACCACATTCCCACATCTTGCTATCACCGGAAGATCCCATCCCTATTTAGGCCCCTGAACCATGCTCCCATGTTCCACTATCACCACTTGATCCCATCTCTTTCATGGACTCTGACCAACACCCCAGATCCTAGTATGACCACCAGGGCTGTCCCTATAATGACCAAAGATGCAAACTAGTTATCATCACTAGTCCTTATTTGTTTGTTTCAGGAACATAGTCCTCTCAAGTCACTATTCAGTTTACAACATTATGACAATAACACAGTATGAGAAATTTAAGGGACATGTCTTGCATCCAATAAGTTGTCATCTCTTTCCCTTGTTTGAGAACTTTATTTTCTTTTACTACTGAAGCATGTATCTTTCAGTCATGGCATGTCCACTGCAGTCCAGGCACTCAGAAGTTTGTGAGATGTCTGTAATTGCAGTTGAGGCATCCTTAAATGTGAACTCTAATCTGAAGATTAGATTATTTTGACAATATAATGACCTTTGCCAGTTAAATAGTTTATCCTCCATAATATTAATGATTTACCGTGCGCATCTCTAGAGATTAAGTTGTGTAGGAAAAATATCAATTCTGAAAGTATCCCCAAGCTACAAAATTGTTTTAGGAGGGTTCCAAGGATGCTAAATCAAAATCTCCCAAGTCACTTGTATGTCATAACGTAACGAATATGTGGTATATTTAAAAAATGCGGCTGAATAAGCAAAGAAATAATAGGGGGCTGGATTGTTCTCTCCTGTGCAAACAATCATGGGAAGGGGTTGAGTGCCGCCCTGTATTCACATCCCACACTATTGTAATATCTCACTGATCAATAATATCATAGTGAAATGTGTGTAGCAACATTATATATAAAGTTATGAACATCATCTGAAATCGGACAATGGAAATTGGAAAACAGACAACGGACAAGCTGTCGCCTCTAGCCAGGTGTCATCAAAATTGTTTGGCAATTACCCATCAAGTGGCCATTCTTTGGCAACAGAAGGGGGCAGGCTGTACTCAAGCTGTACTTAACCAACAACAACATGGAACCTCTTTCACCACGAGACTCCTTGTCTCCGTCCTCACAAAAGGAAGGAACTTTACCCAAGGGTAAAACCCTCAGGAAAATGTATTTCAAAAAGTGACTGGACTATAAAAATGAGGAGCAAAAACATCTCAGGTATTCTCTCTTTCTTTTTCTCCCTCTCACATGCTCTCTTTCATCTAAGCTAGGGTTACCATTCGTCCGGATTCCCCCGGACATGTCCGGATTTTTGAGCTAAAAATAGCGTCCGGGGGGAATTTGTAAATGTCCGGACTTCCCCCCGGACGCTAACAGGGCAGCTGGCCGGATGGTGAAACTTACATGGGGCTCCGACAGCCAGAGACAGCCCCTCCTCCTCTCCCCTGCAACAGAGATCAACTCCCTCCCTCCCTGCATTCCAGATTGCTTCCGGCAGTCTGGAGCTCCTCCCCCGCCAGCCAGCCTGCCGGGACAAGCCTGCCGGGACGAACGGCTCAGGTCATTCCTGAGCAAGCTCACAGAAACATTAGGCGAAGGCCAACAACAAGGGTGCCAGGGGGTCGGAGAAGGGGCAGGGAGGTTTTGGAGGGGGCAGTCAAGAGACGGGGGGGGTCGGGAGTTCGGGGGGGGGCTTTCTGGGGGAGGGTGTGGATAAGGTTTTGGGCAGTCAGGGTACAGGTAGAGGGTAGGGTCCTGGGGGGCAGTTGTGGGGGGTCTTAGGAGGGGGCAGTTAGGGGATAAGGAACAGGGAGGCTTAGGTAGGGGGTGGGGTTCTGGAGGGCAGTT